TGTCGACTCGCCTTTTCCCAGCTCCCATTTTGAAGGAAAAATCGCCCGAGGACGAGCAGCTCCGAAGAGCTGTTCGAGCGCCACCTCTTCCTCCGGCCTGCCAGAGGAGGGTTGCTAATCCAGGGCCAGCTATTTTATTTATCTATTCAATTTAATTTATCGGTAGGTCAAATTAAAGGTTTGCCCAACTTACAACAGCTCTGGACGACGTTCTTTTTTTGCTACTTTATACCGAAAACCATGCCAACAGCGCACCTAGGCTAGTAAGCAGGTTGCAATCCAGAATGTTAGAGTGTTCCTGGGCATGCGTGGCATTTGAGGGAAAAGGGGCTCATTTAATTTCAGGAGATAATCACACAACTTCCTTCAAAACTCTGAGGGCTAGTTTTTAGATGAAAACGAGGCTGGGGCATTCTGACCCTTTACAGGTTGGCCTTATGTCTTCTCTATTTTGGTTGCTGAAGTCTCATCTGCAGTTCAGATGAAGTACTTCATCTGAACTGCAGGGCTAGATGCAGTTCTGCTCTCTCCCCCTGAAAGATTTCATTCCATTTCGGTTTATCTGTATAATTATGCTTGCTGGTGCTGGAGAAAAAATTATCTCCAGATGTTCCGAAGCATCTGTCACATCTACAGGTAGCTCTCGATTGTACAACCATACAGTACCACCATTCGTTCAGCGATCATTCAAAGTTACAGTGGTGCTGAACAAATAGTGGATTTGACTGGTCCTAGGAGTTACGGCTGTCCCAGCACCCCCGTGGTCACGAGATCGTGATCTGGGTGTTTGGCGACCCATTCACATTTACGACTGGTTGCCAAGCGCCTCGCACTCAGCAGGGAAGGTTGCAAGTCACTGGGTAAGTCTCCCCTATCTGTGCACCCTCCCCAGCCCCTCTGCGCTTGCACCGTGCCAGCCACTTGTGCACGCTCTTGATCCTCTTTTCAGAGATGACCCGGCCTGAGACCTACGTCTTCTTCACATTTACTTCATAGCTGGTGTATCTAAAGGAGTCTCTGGCGTTGGAAGGTGAACAATAGCAGCACAGCATTGCCTCAGAATGGATTGTGCCTTTGAGGCTAAGTAAAACCACTGTTTGCATGCATCTGCAATTAAGGTGATGGTACAAATCTTAAATGGGGTCCAAACACGTTCCTTCTGGGAGAAAAGGTTTAAGCCCTGGCTAGAGTAGGCAAGCAACAAGCCTGGGAAACCACAAGCAAGTTTCACAAATGTGCACAAGAACAGGAACAAAACTCGTAATATTTTCTTGCAAATATTTACTCCAAAATATGTACATCAGTGTCTTAACGGAAATTCAAAACATTTAAGTTCATAAAAACAAACCTCAAGTCCAAAATCACTTCTACAAGATTCAGATGGAGCATTTTAGTTATGCGTGTTAATATTTAAAAAGCAAATTGCTGTTAAATCATGTTATGCATTCCTTCACTAGCTACAGTATATCAAAAGGATTTTCATGCCACCCCACCCCACCCCATAATTTCACTTCAATTTGTTTTACATAAATTTAGATCCAAAAGGCCCCCTCTAATACCTGATTTAAATGCTTCCAAGTTTCTTCTTTCTTTTGGTAACAGGGTTACATCTTTTCAGCTTTGCATTTCTTTCAAGCCACTTTGTGTTTTCAGGGCCTGCCGTTAACAGGAAGAATAAAAGAGTAACTGCCCCAAAGGAAAAGCCAGGGGCCCCATCATACGCCATCTTTCCTACAAACAGATTTGTACAGTTTTGTTCTGCTTGCACACAGGGAAACTCACAAATATATTTATAACCATCCACTTTCACTGAAAGTTTAAGGTGAGCTTAGCCTCTCGTAAGATCACGCCAATCCAGAGGTGCCGAGTTCCAAACTGTCACTGTTGATGGGGTGGGAATGCAACCTCCAGCCCAGGGTTCCCTTCTGAGTGTTCTTCCGGCACATATCCACCCAAGTAGTTTTTAAAAATGTGGTTTCTACAGAGCCCTTACTTTGCATCCAATAACACCTTTTCCTCTGGCTTCACGGATTAAGATTATTGCAAGCAGGCACTGGCTTCTTCTGGGCTCTCTGATCTCCGCGTGTCTGCTTACCTAATTTGCCATGGGCAAGCAGCAACCATGCCTTGCTTGTTCTGTCTTCCGCCAAGGCAAAAACCCTCCTTCAGCTGGCTTCATCACTTTCTTCCTCCTGGCTCACAGATGAGTCCTCCTGGCTTGGGCTGCCACCTCCGGAAGGAACGTCAGCTGGCTCAGAACCTAGCCCAGCTTTCTTGGCTGAGGCTGGAACTCCTCCCTTCTGCAAGATCTCGGTGGCCTCGTGCTCAAGGACCTCCGAGGGAGTCAGCGGTTCCAGATGAACGCTACCTTGCTCACTTGCATCTGAATGAGCGGAGTCAAGTTCTCCCCTTCTTCGCAGGAACTGTTCAAAGCTGACCTCTTCATCACTGGATGCCAACTGGGTACTATCCATGGTCATGTCTGCCAGCTGAGCTTCATCCAAATCAGTCACCTTTGACTGGACGTCAAAGCTGGCCTGCTCTGAATGAGCACTGCTTTTATTGCTTCCAAGTTCTGTTGATTCTGCTTCTCCTCCTTGCTTGTCCAAGACCGCCTTTCCACAAGAACTCTCCGACGCACTTGCTTGCAACCCTGGAGTGGTAGTGTTTTTCACAGCTGGAGAAGAGGGACTGACTTCATGCTCATCAGCAGCTGGATTTCCAACAGGATCCTTCACCCTTCCGGTTGCAGAGTTTTTTGAAAAGGTCTGGAGCTCGGCAATGGAGGACTCTTCTCCAACCGATTCAGAGATCCTTTCTTCACATAGTGCAGTGAGAGAGACTGTGTTAGCCCCACCCTCAATTCTGTCCTCATCTCCTTCACCTGCAAGGTCTGCAGAATCATTTGAATGAGCTGACTCTCCTAAAGCAGAGGCATTTTCTGTTCTTTCATGCTTGGCAACCAAAAGACAAACATCACTTTGATTTCTCAAAGCGTCTGCACCCCTTGCTGCTTCAGGCACTGTGGGATCACTTGAGCAGGGTGTGAGCACTGACCCACAGAAACTTTCTGAAGCAGCTGCGTGGCCTTCATGCTCAGCAGCCAGAGGGCCACGGTCACTCTGATTTGGGGGGCAGTTCCCTGCAGGACCTACCATGCTACTTGGACTGGCTGCGAACTCTGAGCCACAAGCACCTTCTGGGACTGACAAATTGCCTTTATTTTCAGCAGCTGAAAGACCGGGATCCTCTGGATTTGCAGAACCCTTTATGCTGCTGCCTTTGGAACAGGTACGGAGTTCTGAAATGGCTGCAGCTGACAGCAACATGTTGCCTTCCCCTTTTGCAACTAAAAGGTCTCCATCTGTGTGGTTTCCCAGGCTGTTAACACTGCTTTCTCCTGCAGGGTCTTCTGAGCAGGCTTCAGGTTCTGGGCCAGAAATGTCTTCGCTGGTGGGAGACTGCTTTCCTTCACACCCAGCCATTAGAGTACTTTCATCAGGCTGATTTCCAAGGACCCCCAACACCCCTCTTCGTGCAGGGCTACTGGAACGGGTCTGAAACTCTGAACTAAATCTGTTTTCTGAAACTGGCCATTTAGTTTCTTCACTGTGAGCAGCTAAAGCAGTGTCAGTGTTCTGTTTTCCGGGAAGATCTGCATTTGTTTCTCTCGCAGACCCTTTCACCTGTGGGCTGAAAAAGCAACATAAGCACTTTAATTACTTGACTGTAATAAAACATGCTAATTGCTTCAACCTGTTGGGTGTTGTGGGGGGGAGGTCTAGCCCTAGGCCCCCACAGTACGAGGTCCCTGAGGGCTTGGGTCCCTCGCTGCTGCTCCTTAAAAACTATGTGAAATTGCTGGGTGAGGTCATTTGACGGCAGGGGGTGCTGCAACATCAGTATGCTGTTACCCAGTTATGCATCTCCACCCCTGGCCAGGCAGGTGATGCTACTGTGATGCTGACCCCGTGCCTAGAGGTTGTGAGGGTCTGGATGGGGAGGAACCAGCTCCGATTCAACCTTAGCAAGACAGAGTAGCTTGGGGGATTTGACCCCCAGGGTCTGGGGATCTGTCATCTCTGATTCTCAGCAAGGCAACTCTTCCCCAGACAGGGGTGTGGTGCCATTGGGGATCCTCCTGGACTTGTGGCTCTGCTCAAGGAGCAGGTGGCAACTGTGGCTAAGGGGGGCTTCTGCACAGGTTTAGAGCACATGGGAGCAAGAACAGAATTTTTGCTTGAAACTCTTTAAAGCAGCCACGTTTCCCTGGAATTGCCACCTGTTGCATGATCCAGAGAAGAGATGCATTACCTCCAACACATTCCTGTTTCAAAGCACCTTGCTGCCTCCCAAACTTACAGCCCTATTCTTCACCGCACACTCCAGTTCAAGACTTGCAAAAATCCAGAGGCCTACTTCATAATTGCACTCACTGCATATTATTAAAAAAGCCACAAGTTCATTCACATTTTAATTTGCAGAAGACCTAACTTTATTTTTACCTTTCTGAAATGTATGCTTCTCCTTGCTTTTCACATATAGTGGGCACTGAATATTTCTAAAACAAAAGAGCACAATATAACATAGCATAGTGGGTTTTTTGCTCAACGTTCACATTTAATACCACCATGAACACATGGCCACAATCCACAGTAAGCTGTATCAATCTGGATCCCCAGCAGAGGGACCAGAGACCTGGCACTACTGCAGAAACACCAAAAGGAGGGAAACCTTGAGGCAGACGCGGAGGCAGCTACAATCTGGATCAGGAACATGATCAAAGTAAAACCAGCAACAGAGCTGGAGGAAACCACACAAATGCAGATGGCTGGCTGCTCAAGACCACAGAGAAGCAAGCTGGCCAGGCAGGAGAGGGAGGGGAGAGAGAGAGCGTGCATTGCAGCAGAAAAGGTGTGCAGCAGCTACCTCAAAAGCTGGGGGATGCTGTGTACTCCCATGCAGGTTAGGTGACAAGTTATGCCAGATTCTGCTCCTGGCCAAATTTTCACATTCATCACCGTTATTGTCTATCTGCTTCCTCCTGATGCGGAAGCCCAGACCAGCCTTGCCCTCTTCCCCCTCCCACCTCCTGGACCACTCTACAAGGTGCGGGTGGGCTTCTGGCCACCTTCAAGGGCGATGCCAATTTACTGCCAGATCTGGGGAGAGTTTTTCCTTGCTCCACGCTAAAAGACATAAATGGAACATTGTGCTACTGGCACAGAGATGGAAAGGGTTGCTTTTTAAAATTCAGTTTGTTCCTTATTAAGAATAGAGTTATCATTTTGAAGCCTATCATCTGAAAACCTAAAAGCGGACACTGCATTTGAAAGCTGTACATTTGCACTGTGGGTTATTCAGTAGCTGACTGTTATGGCTGAACTTACACATCATCTGCTGAATGCTTTCAATAGATATGGCTACACAAAAGTTTCAAGACAAAAAAAAGGGACTACCTCTGACTTTTCTTCAATTTCATTTTTCAATAATGCATCCTTTGCTAGGCTAAAGGACAAAACAACATTGATTAGTTTTGATGCTGATCATATGCTATCTAAAACTAAAGTGAAAAACCACTAACATGTATTTTGAATTTCAAACTGTTTGAAATCTCCATTAAGAGTTACTGGATTCTTTCACTTCCCATGAAACACGGAACTGCAGTGGAACTCTGCCTGTTGTTTGACTCTTGCCAAGGCATTTCATCAACGTGGCCCAATGTGGTGTGATGCTCCCTACCGAGAAAAGCCCCCCGGGACGCCTCTTTGTAGTTGTCATCTCCTCTGAGGAGGGAGGGGAGGATGTTAATATCTGCAATATTTGTCTCACTCAGTGCATTAGTAGAAGTGCACAAAACTTACTGATTTGGGAATGGAACATGACTGTTTTTAACAATTTTAACCTTCTGTACGATGTCCTCTGTACTCTATTGCACTGGAAGGGAAGAATATAGACTGCAATTTCCTGGTAGCTCCACCTCAAAAGTTTCCTATACCATTGTAAGCCCAAGCTAGAAAAAGATTTATAACCACACCTGCTACTGAGAAGCAGGAGGGAGGCCTGGTTATATCATCAAGAAGAGTGGCTTAAACACCTCCTGTCTTGTTTCTCTGGGAGCAGTTTTTCCCCAGCTCCACATTCTCCTGGCAGTGGGGCAGAGCTGCAAGAACATTTGCTCACACAAAGCACGGAAGCAAAGAAAGAAGAGGAAAAGGGAAAGCCTAGTGTTTCTCAGCTGGGCCCCCGGGCTGTTGTTTTTGCCAATCTCAAATTCTTCCTTTCTACATCAGACAATAGTGTAGGAGCAATACATGAGGCTGCTCCTATTTTCATCTGCTTTTGACCTTATTTTATACGTGCATGCTCCTGTGAAAAAACAAGAGACATTGAGGGTGCTGTAGAAAGAGAACTTCTGCCTCCTCTCCACACCCTTTATGTTTTTAACAGGTCAATAAAAGTGGGGTGGTGGGGGCCTTGTGCTCCATCAATGTATCTTGCCTAGAACAAAGAGGTTGTCCTGGAACACTCTGTGCCCAAAGAGGCAAGGCCCCAACCTGTCACTTACAGCACAGATTTTTCTGCAGTAATTTTTCAAGCCCGTTCTGTACCTGAGATTAGCTATACATTATTCAAGTGTATTGATTTCTAAACAAACAGCTTATCACCCCACCAAGATTGATTTTTAGTGTTTAGGGAAGAGCGATTCCTCTGCATGGATAGTGAGAAAGGCGCGTCTCTTATAAAAACATGTACACTCATCAATTTTTGTAACCCAATTTAACTTTTCAAAGGCTTTTTACTCAAAGAAATAGCTGGTGATGGTTATCTTTTTTGTTGACGCAGCGTAAAATGAAATCTAATTCACCGAAGTATGGCACAGCACCAGCCGCATCATTCATCATGAATCCACCTTGTGGACCAGGAAAGGCTTCGCCAGTTACCTGCAAGGTCCTTGGGATGAAAAGGCTGTGCCAGCACTGAAGTTGGCCACTGCTCGTGCCATCTCTACTAGTTTAAAAGGGCAAACATCTTTGGCCCTGGTTCAGCCATTGTGGGCCTTTTCTGACCCTCCAGGGTTAGAGCACCCATCACAGTGGGGGCTTTGCTTCTGCATCTTCCTACTGCCAAAAGCAGTTTGGTGCCAAATCTGGGGAAAAGCTTCTCCTAGAGGAATTATTCTGGTGGCTCAGTTGCTGCTCTCGTTGGCATTCTTGGTAAGAATGAATCACAACACAATGGGCTGCTAGATGGTGAAGCACTTCAACTACACCTGCTCGAGTTCCCAAAAGGGTTTTTCTTTTGAGGAGGACCCCAGAGCCACCTCGTTCCAGGATGCCACTCGGTTCTGGGGGTGGGGGCAGAGCAAGGAACCAAGCCACAGAGGCAAATAAAGCAAATAAATGAGCTTGGCCCCTGTAAAGATATGTTCCACACTTGTTAACAGAACATGGAAAAGGAAATGTGCATATCTAATCAATCAGCACAGCCAAACTTGCTTTTCCACAACTTTCTCAGGTAGAAGCGAAGAACCTCCACATCCACCCAGCTGACCAAACAATTACATTTCAGAAACTCACCCAGAAAGGTCAGCAGCAGTTAAGTAATCCAAGGGAACTAGAATTGAAAAAAGAGAGAATTCAATATTCCAGGTAAAAGCCAGTGTTTCACTACCACTTCAGAAAACAAAGCCCCAAAGCCCCAAAGCCACCTACCACGTTCTACAATCACTTGGCAAGTATGAGCCTGACTTTCATTCAGGTGGGTGGCCATCTTGTCCAAGCCAGAAACATCCGTCAGGAAATCACAGTTAAGACAAACCACAGTAGTGCCCCTGGGGAGAAAGTCGGAAAAGGGATGGTTCAGGAGTATGAGACAGACAAGGTGACCAAAGTACACTCTTGCCCTTGATGGATGCACTGTCGACCAGGCTCAGGAATAATGCCATGTAATAGCCGTCAACTCACAAAAATTCTAGCTTTCTTACATGTCCCTTCTAGGCTTTTCTAGGAATCATCTTGCAGGAAGTTTTCACAAAACAAAATTTTTAATGCCCCATGGGAAGAACAGCTTCTCTGCACCACTTAAATTACACTAGTGACATTAGGTCAAGAGAATAAATTATATTTAAATTCTAAAATAGAGCTTAAAATATGGATTATTAGCAAGAAATGAAGACACTTGGTAAAATTTAATATCAAGGCAGGCACACATTTCAAATCATTTTATCAAGTTTTAATTTTTCAGTGAATACCTCATATAAGAAACACAAACTGGCCCACATTCTACATCTCATTCAACAGTAACTGAGACCATCACCTGGGATGCCCTGACAAATGAGTCCTTGAGGTCTGCTGAAGACCTCTCCTCCTCCCCCACTCTCTTCAGGTGATCAACAGAATCACCCACTCCCCAACTACCACTGAGCAGTGGGATGAGGGCCATGTTTGTGGAAGAGCCCTCTGTCCAGTTATGGGCTCCTACTTCCCCACAACCCCACAGCCCTGGACTCCTACAAGGGCTCCATGAAGCAGCACTAGTAAGCATAGAATGATTTACTTCCAGAGAAGCACGTTAGAATGGCACTGCATACTATCAAAAGCGCACAGCTTAAATAAAAAAATTAGAAGTTACCTCAGTTCATCGGAATGTGTCTTATAAATCCAAAATCTTTTAGTTTGACGAGCGCTATGAAAGCTACAAAAAAACAGAATCCCTTAAACTGAATTCCTGAAAATATGACTTGTTTCTATCATAAAATATAATACATAAAAAAAAGCTAGTCACGTGATTTGTATAATGCATCTTGTATAAAGCAGCACATTCTGTACCAACATAGTTAAACAAAAAACAAAGTAAAACTCCAAATTCACCTGACAAGAGGTTGGCAAGAAACTCTAGCAGCCCCCTCCCTGAGGGGAGGAAGACCCCTTCCCTAGCATCCTTCCTAACAGAGTCACAGCCATGCTTTTCCAACAAGCCTTTAGGGCAAATGGTGCAATTCAGCTGGAAGCAGCCAACCAAGGAGGGGGATCAGGGATATGACGGTTTTATTTTGTCAGTGTTCGTATTTAGGTTTTAAGGTAGCTTATTTTACAGTAGGCAGCAGCAGCTGATATAGACAAACACAACTTGATACAGATAAAATCTGCTAGTTGGAAGGCTAAGCGGCAAAGTCACGCACCAAGGAGCCACGTCCCATCTTTCGGCCTCCCCCCAGTCGGACTGGAGGCGGAAGGTTTTTTACCTCATCATGTGATTCACATAAGCTTTACTGCAACTGGTGCTGTATCTGCACAAGCTGCAGCGGACGTATGCTGGGAAGTGACTTGCAAAAGTCCGGATGTCCGAATAACACTCAATGCATTTCTGAATATCGGGACACCTAAGGTTAACCAATGTCACAATTAGTTATCAAAGAGTAAGTTAATTCTCACATCAAACCACTGTTTGCTAGTAAGACCTGCTTAGCTTAAACCATGGGGCCAAATCTGCACTACAAAGTGGGTATTTGGAAATGGAGAAGCTCCAGGGTCTTTTAAGGTTTCTAAACTAGGTTCCAGGGACCCCAGGAATAGTTACCGTAGATTATTTAATGCTGTGTTTGCAATCTTATTGGTTTTCTTGCTGCCGCCACCGCTGCTGCCGCTGCTGCTGCTGCTGCTGCTGCTGCTGCTCTTGCTCCCCCCACCGCTGCTCCCCCCCAGAATCGGCTTCTTCTGCATGCTCAGCGGCTTCAGTTTTGCCTTCCCCTTGCTTGCATTCAACTTGTTCTGAATCTTGCTATTTGCCACTTTAATGCCAGGAGACAACAGCAAGGTGGACGTGTTTGTGCTTGCAGGAGACGCCGTCACAGATGCGGGTTGAAGAGACCCAACAGAAGCTCTAATTGTAACCTAGAACATGAGATCCTTTCAGTTTTTTCTGCCTCACAAATGCGAGCACTGATCTGCCTGCTCAGATTTCAAAAGGAATTTGGGCAATCCTTGTTTTTTAATACACAAAGTGAAATGTAACCACAGGACAAGACCACGATGTCCTGTGGATACTGGACCTGGGTGGCAGGATGTTCTCCATCAAACCAGCGCTCATCCAATTTTGGCAGAGGAAGCATCAAAGCAAAACATTTCTTTCTTTCTCTCCCACACACATACTTTTCCTAGAGCTTCAGCATTCTTATCACCCACAGAACAGCCAAATTCTGACACAAGATCAGGACTAGCTGGAATCTGTCAAACCAAAAAGGGGCTAGAACTCATAGAACAGCCTGTTACGTGACAAGGGCTGAGCTGTTAACTAAAGCAACGTCTCCCTTCGTCAGCCCAGAATAAGGTGCTACTCCAGAAAGTCTCTGCTCTATTGTAAACTTATGCCTAAGCCCCCAGTGAGAAGGTAATGGATCTTGCCAAAAGGTACCCGGGGCTTTTTGATGTCTGTATGGCTGGTGAAAAACAAACGCATGGAACTATTTTTTTCTGTGGGGTGCCACCACCACCACGAGGGAAAGAAATATGCCTTCCCATGGAAGAGCTGCAGGCCAACCAGTCCTTAGAGCAGAGGCTCTCAAAGGGGCTGCAAACGCAGATCCAAACACGCTCACGCCATAGCAGCGGTACTCCGTCCCCCTGGGGGAGTGGTCAGACGAGAGCCCTGCTGGCAGCCTGGCGTTAACAGTGCCAGTGGAGAAGGGGTCTCCTGGAAAGGCATAAGCAAGGCCCTCCTTGGCTGTTCATTTCCAGGAATCTGCACAGAAGCAGCATATTGCATCAGACAGTCCACTTACTTTGGTTCCTGGAGGCAAACCCTCTAACTGAGCAGGTTTTTTGAATGTCCGATGATGCTGAGATTTATGGTCCAGTTTTTCTTTGCACGTCAAGAACTGGAGTCTACATTTGGTGCAGCGATGTACTCCCTTTTTCTTTAAGGGGGGAAAAAAGGGGGGATAAAAATACATGGATGCTCATCCCAGAATAGTAAGACAGATCACCAAGTTACATTCTAATAAAGTAGTTGAATTCACAAGCAGAGTAATTTAATGCTGCAAGAGGATTTGAAATTGTAAAAATTGCGGCCACTTCCAACAATGTCCATAAACTAAGATGGATTTAACTACCATTCAACGTTCAATCTCAAAACACTCACACTAAGTTGGAAACCACAAGAGCTTCTTACCCCTCAAGTCTTTGCCAGAAAAGAGGACGGTTTTGCTGCCCTCCCAGAACCCCTTCTCTTCACACATATTCCTTGCCTTCTCAGCTTCAGCCACTATTGGTGAGTTCTATCAGCTATGCCCCAGAGTTTCATAAGCATGTCCCAACACAAGATGTGCAGCAGCATCACGACACTGCACCGGAGAGGAGGTTCAGTTTGAACAGTAGTTGTAACCGTCTTCTATGGGGAGGCGGAACTAACGTGGGGGATTAAGTATTCTTGGGCTGCCGCTTACCTTCCACAAAGATTATGAATGTTACCTGATGTCTCATAAAATGATGCATATAAGGTGCCCCAATTTTAATAACTTTAAGGCAAAATGGACAAAGCAGGTTCTTTGTGTTTTCATGAATGGATCTGAAGTGTTTTTCCACATCTGAAAATGCTGACGATCTGTAGTTGCAAACCTAAACATCAATATAAAGGGGGGGGGGAATATTTACTTCTAACCACCTTTCTTAGGAACAGCAAGGCATAGACAAACATACGTAGAAAAAATGTTTGGGAGTACCTGGCAGACATAAGGCATTTCCCCAGGCTTGTGATTGTCTTTCATATGCTGCAACAGAACTTGCTCGGTTTCAAAAGAAAGTTCGCAGATTTTGCATATAGCTACAAAAGAAAATAAGCAGCAACTGAACTAACTTTTAAAAAAATCAAACACTGGAGTGGCACAAAACTACTGGCATCTGTAATTCAGCTATGACTCTCAGAGGTAATTTATCAGAATGTTAGGGTTCCTTTCAAATCAAAGATGTCCCTAATTTGGCTTCTAAGTGAAAGCAAACAAATGCATACCATTCACCACACAGATGTGACAAATCAGTTGTTCTAGTTAGATGAACTGTCATATCTGTGTCATAAACTATATTTACTTTAAAAGCGTAAGCCTAGGGCTGCGCTTGATATCGCTGCTTTCCCCGACGGGCAGACAGCTGAGAATTTCTGACGCCGGGTTCAGCCCCAGGATCAAAAGCCCACCAAGGTTCTTATCAGGGGAACGCCTCGCCCCCCAGCTTCCCGCCCAGAAGAACTCACTGGAGGACTCGTGGGGCGTGTGGGTGCTCTCAATGTGGCACTGCAGCTGGAAGGGCGTGGGGAACTGGCGATAGCAGTGTTGGCAGGTGGTGTGGCTTTCCCAGCTCTCGCTGTTCTGCTTCTCCAGCTCCAAGTGGTGCTTCATGTGGTTCATGAACCTGAGAGCAACAGTTCACAGCTCAGGCCGCGGCTTTTAAATCGAAACACCTCATTCCGTGCGCCGAGGGGAGATGGGGCACCCTGCCACTTGGCGCACTGTACCAACGGGTACCCCTCTGGCGTAAGCCTAGGGCTGCTTTAACGTACATTAAAGCGTGCTGGCAGAATCACTCGTCCACCCGAAGCAGATGGAAAAGGTGGGTCTTAAAAGATTCTAAATACGAACTGAAAAGAACAGGAGGCCCCAGGGTTGGATAGTCACAGGGGGGCTGGCACCCTAATTGTGGGGGAGTCAGCTTTCATTTTCTTTGGGACTTGGCAATCGGTGGAGCCTCTTGTTTCCCGAAACTTATCCACCTTGGGTCTTAGTATTTAGATCTGTTGCAATTCTCAGCTGTAATTTTATCCCCCTTTGGGTTTATTTAGCAGAACTTTTTGGAAGAATGTAAAATCAGTTCTGCTGACATTAAAAATAAACCGGAACAACACATAAACCAAGATATAGCTTAGGCCTGCAAACCTCCACTCCAGCTGTCCCTAAGCTCCGAGTCAGAGCTGTTCCTCTTCCAGGCTATAAATACCTGATGTTACTTTTGAGGACCTTCATGCAGCTGGCACACTTGAAAGTCGTATGCGTTTTCTGCTCCTGACGCACCTGCTGGAGGTTTCCCTCGTGCTTGCCATAGTAGAAGTCATTAACTAACATGATCAATTTTCCTTTTTCTGTTTCAGCAATCTTAGGTGATATACCTGAGCAGTCCATTTTGGTTACTCCCAGAAAGGTGTGCATCATATCGGGACAGCAATACTGAAAAGACCAACAACCACTGTAAGTTCTGAACAAAGGTACTTACTGAATCCTTAAGAATCGCTAAGAAACTAATCAAGCTGTCTATACAGACTTTGATCAAAATTGGATATCTGAGTTCAGAGAACTATAAAAAAAAGAGCAAAGCAAATGTTTAAATACATAAACATGAAACACATTTCAATTTCCAAGAGAACCCTCTTAGAACGTGACTGCCTGTTACCTACATTTAAGAGCACTTCATTTCAAATAAAAACGATTGCCATAAATACTGATAATCCTAAATTCAAAGTTAGCAAATTATTACGCCATCATGAAATAAAATTACTTCTGGGGGAGGGCTTATATAGGAAAACAGGCCAACAATTAAGACCAGTAAGGGTGCAAACAGAAGACAATGCCACAAAGAAATCTCCACAACAGAGCCAGAAAAATCCAGGGAAAGTAATTGCTAATATAAGTGGCATAGAATTTTTCACTTTTATACTTCACCTGAGCCTTATTTCAGCTATGAGAGTACAGGCTAGAGTGAATTTAATATGCATTTTCTCACTGGAAATGGGAACATGTATTCATCTCAAACAGAAAATGTGGTAGCTGAACAAGCTGCTATTTAAAATGGTATCCATGCAAGGCAAGTGAAGAAACCTTTAAAAGCCAAAAGAAAATAGTCATCTTTATCTGTGTCTAATCTTTTCTTTAAAAATATACAACTGAATAAAACAGTCCCAGATTTTATCATGTTTAGAAATGCCAAAAATGATCCAATGTCACTTTTATAACTGTGTTTTACTACTTCCCACCAAACATATTTACCTTTACATGATTTTTCAATGGCTCCAAAAGGTTAAAATGAATATTGCATTTTGGGCATGCTTGCGGAAAAGGGGCTCCATTCTTAACGTTACTTGAAGCAACACCTGTGGAAAAAGAGAAAGGTTATTATTTAACGCATGTTTGAATATGTGAGACAGATACATTAAATTCATCAACACGCAGGGCAATCATTCCAAAGGCATCATTTAATCCATCTGACAACTCACTAGAGGTGAATAAAGCCCTCACATAGATTCCCACAGACCAGAAGCTTTGATGCCCTTCTTCTGCTTGTGAGTATTTCAGGGCAGCCTTTAAAGCACCTTTGGACAAGGTTTCCCCCAAATTTGAAGTACAGCATGTTTCCAGTGGTCCTACCTTTCTCAAGCAGGGGCGGGTCATTTGGAGGTTTAACAGAGGACAGGAGAGGCGACTCGCTCCCAGAGCCCATTTCATTAGCCTTGGCCTTTTTGGGAGCAATACTACTGGCTTCAGAAGTGGAGGGACGCTTGGACAAGCCTACAAATGTTTTAAAATTTAAATTTAGATAGCTTTTCATAGCCAATTACTCCTCAGCCTCTCAAACTCCAGGCCAGGCCTCCTGCCCCTAAAAGTGACCCCAACAGGCACAAAATCAGTTCGCATGCATGGCTCCTGCTGCAATCCAGCACATCTTTTCTCAGAAGCCAGTCCCACTGTGTTCCACGGGGCTGACCTGCGAGGAAGGGCCCCTGTGCCTTCATGTCAAGGTTATGGCTGTCAAAAAGGGCATTCTCCCAAGATTGGTCAGTCCCTGGCTGAATACTATGAGCCTGCGGCCACCCATTTTTTGAAGACTTTTTTGCCCCGAATCACAAGCAAAATGAAAAACTTGGCTCGGACATACCCGTTGTATTCATGGGTGACACACTCTGGTATTGCAACCCTCCTGAATTCTGCCTTACACTAAAGGTCAGGCCGGAAGTTTTGTCTGGCATAACCTGTAGAGAATGTGTTAATTAGCTCAGCAACAGAACTCTCTTGAGTATTTTTCTGTTGCTGTAGAAACATTTCAAAAGATTTGAACGCTGAGCACCCAAGTTTACACTTTTCAGTTAAGTGCTCTATTCTGGTAAGATGCATGATCAGCAGATACAGCGCCATTCTGCCAGGCACCCTCCTCATTTCCAAAGCCCCGCAGAGGTGCTCCGTCTGGCCCAGAGTCCCGCTTCTGCTCCACTGCCTTGTGCTCTCGCCTCCTCCATCAACTGGCCTCTCTTTGCTGCGCCACATGCTTGGAACACGTGCGTGAGGCACCTCTGGTGAAATACAGCCTGAACTGCCCTTCCTCTTCTCCTACCAACAAAAAATGCAACCTTGAAGTGGAGTGCACCCTAAACATCACCTGATGACTCTCAACTCTGCTTCAGAGTCTATTTAAACGTTCCTATTTTAGAAAAGTAACGTGGCTATTCAGGAAACCTCCAACAGTTCCCAGTCACCACAGCCTCGAGTGCAGGTCTTCTGCCCAAGAAGGCAGAGGGTGTGAGGTCAGGCTGTGGGAGAATGAAGCCCCTTGAAATCTCAGACTAGATTTGTAACCAATTTCCCTTTCAATCTCAGGGCTCCACCAACCAGCACCGCCTTTTAGCCAATTAAAAGTGATGCATCAATCCATCTTGAATTAACCACATTAATACAGTTAAGCTGTAGAAATGAGTAAGACACCTATTACAATCACGTTTCCTTCTTTCAAGTGACCTGAAAAGCTGAATTCACCTTTGGTTGAATTTGTTCTTCAGGATTCCTCTTCCAAACACACCAAGTTAGCACAATGACGTGACCAGCAGGGCCAGCCCTACTCACCAAATTGCGAGAGAACAATAAAAGACCCTCTCCGAAGAACAGAGGTGGGGACATAGCTGCTACTCGGGGTATAAACCAAGTAAATAATTAAAGAAATCAAATCTACCCGATTCAGCGCAATGGGTTGTGCTGTTACGGTGGCCACTGGCCTGGAGGCAGACTGAGCTGATGCAGGAATATGAAGGTTCCGTGACAACGACGGGGGAGGGGCAGACTTATTGACCGGCTGAGAGATCCCAGCACCGGACTTGGCTCCTTCCTGCGGTGACGAACATCCCGAAAGCGGCCTCGGCAAGACTTGAGAGGTTCCCGAGATGCTGCTGATGCGCGGCTGCGGCTGAACAGCTAGAGTACTTGTTGCCGGTCTGCCCACAGAGAGAAACCCTGGAGAAACAGCCACAGCACCTGCCACGTGGAATGAGGAAACAAGTTACTACGCGCTGGTAAGAGTCAGAAGCTTTTAGAGACTTTGTTTTTAGGCATCACTTGGAGAACGTCATACCTCTTTTGGGGGCACCATTCTGCACTCCAATTCGTGATGAATTCGGGTTCACCCTGTTCAATATATCTATTAAAAAGTGACCATTACTGCTTTCAGAAAACAAGGAGAAGGAAAATATGCTCAAGAGAACTTATCAATATAACCCAAAAGAAGGCAAGTAACATCTCACTGTGAAGTTGCACTAATTCCTAAAGAAATACCCAAACACTTGGCACTCTTCTCATTCCTGAAAGAAGCTGCAGAATTCCCTGCAATCATTCCAAGAATGGATCCAAGAGCACAGTATCCAATTACGCTGGTTTAAATAACATACATTTACACTATAATTCTTGCCAGTTCAACAGGACTTCTGAGTCAACCTATTTAGGATGCAAATGCAAGTTAAGCCTGGCTAGCCTATTAGCAACTCTGCTTTCCATTGCAGCCCTGAGGTGACTAACTTTTGAAACTCATTCCTTCCTTTGTATGTGCCCCCCACAATAATTCAAAACAGCCCCTTACAGGTATTGGTTGGTTTGGAGCTCACAAACTCCCCAACAAAGATAGGCTCATCGTCATCATCGTCATCGACAACAATGGGCTTTGTTTTTTGTTGCCAGGGTTCAAGCTCTTCCTCTTCACATTCCATGAAAAGCTCTGCCATTGTTGAACTAGAAAATAAAAAATAGCAGCAGGTGGAACAGACAGTTGTTAAGAACTAGGGGTGCATAGCTCTTCCAATCTGAAGCAGGAGGGTAACCGTGGTTCTAGCGTGGGTGCACTCGTTCCTTAAAGTTGTGGTTTGCCCAGCTACAGGGCAAGCCTAAGACAGGACACAGGAACCCAGCACCCTAACCCTACATCAGATCCAAACAGCTGCATATCCATGAAGAGAAGCACAAAGGCTGTTTTCTCTCAACACACTGACTTTCAAGAGACCACACTTTAACCTACCAGGTTCCACAAGCACAGCTTATGAGATTCAGTGCCATGCAAAGCCAGTGACTTAATAGATTACGCCAAGTTTCAGCTAACCTAAACCAAGCTAGGTTTGTCACGTGACTGCTGTACATAGAGGTCAAATCACTGGTCCAGTCCCACCCCTTCTAACTGGCACCAGCCCATACTCTTTCATGGCAGATCCTCCTTAGTCGTATCTGCCAGCCTGTGTGCCTTTGACAAATCTCACTTAGTCCTTGGACATTTTCCCTGAATTAAAGTTGGGAAGAAACCCGTGTTTTCCACATTAAGCCAATTATTTCAGGCTGGCACAAGCATCTCAGGTAAAGATCAGTACAGAGAACTACCTAAAGAACAGGGGGTTCTGTTGTTCCACGTAACAACATTCACAGAATGATTCCAATAACACTGTTGTTATAAATAAGAAAGACAGCAAACAAAACCTTCAAGTTATACAAGGCAGTTCTGACCGCTTTTAAGAGCAAAAACGTTTCACAGGAAAGCCCTTCGTGAAACTCTTCTCTGCGACTTGTGTCGAAGGAGGCGGCCAGAAGGTAGGTGCATTTCCATTAGAGCTGTTCGGAGGCTCGCTAATTCAGCCTCTCATCCCTCGGTAAGGATTAGAAGCACCCAAGCAGGGCACGGAGAGGCTGGCTGGCAGCGGCCTGGGCCCTGCAGGCAGGAGGATTAACAGCCGCTGGCGAGGGAGCCCGTCCTTTACTGGCTCGCTCGCCCGTTTAACCTTCGGGCAAGGCATCACCCCGGCTCCTCCACGGCTGTGCCATCTTCCATCGCGCCCACATTTCCTTCATTGCGCCAGCTCAGAAAACCGCGTTTCTGTTCCCTCCAAACTACCAGGCGCGCGACCGCGCCAGGTACCAGCTACGCCTGGGCACCAAGACCCCCCGGCCCCTCCCCGCTTCCATGCTACGGAGGATTTTGACCAATGTCTCCCCTTCTCTTCCCTTCCCTTCCCGGCGTTTCCAGGGCGGCTGCGGGCCGGGAGGCGTCCCCGCGATTCGGCCAAGATTCCGGGCCGCTCCTGCTCGCGACACCCGCC